ATTTTAGAAAAGATCTGTCCAATAAGCTGTTTGCTAATAAATTGTTAGCCCTTGCAGCTCAAGAAAGGTCTTCTACATTTTAAAATATACCCCTAGTATAGCACACATCAGGCAGTTTTTCATGGAGAAAATCTGCCGGAAATTTGGGACAAGACTTGTATTTTCAAAATTGATCTGAAAGGAAAAAAAAACATCCATTTAGCTCTGAATAAGAGGTAACATAAGAAATACATTAAATAACAAAATAAATGTACAGCATTTGGAGATCACTTCTTGTTTAAGATGATACTGATTTAATGGGTCAGAGCAGACTTGGCTGGCTTTATGGACTGTGTGAGTGCTGACAGATATGGGCACAAGTTTCTTTTCCTAGTTCATTCAGGGCTGGAATAGACTCTCAATTTCATAAAAGATAGAGTTTAAAAAAAAAAAAACAGGGTCCTGCTTTCTCCCAATCTGCTCGCTGGGTGGTTTGTCTGTTTATTTAGTCTGTGGAGGTGATGGGAATAGAGTTGTGGTCATGGCCAATTTTCTTTGCACTGCGAAAATATTCATCTGGACAGCTGGAATCCAGGGAGCAGAGTAAAACATTCTTACAGCCAACAGATACAATGAGACTCACAGAAACACATTTCCAGATAGAAAATGAAAAGCATGTCTTCTCTTTTTTTTCTCAGCACACGGAAAATAGACCTACTTTAAAAAAGTGTTACACCTCACCATCAACAAGCTGATTCGCGGCACAGAAGCATCTTTCCCTTATTAAGAGACCCATCAAATCCAGACCACCAAAAAGAACTTTGCCTTGTTCAAGTGAAAACGCAGAACAATGAAGATTTTAGTCTTGAAAATCTGATAACGTTGATTCGTAGATTGCTTTTTAAAATGTTTCCTTGATTCATTTCATTTGCATCAGTTGAATTGGTAAGCATTTATCAATGGGAGTAAGCCTGGACTTTCACCTGAAATGATTTCAGTTCTGCTATTATTTTTCCAAATAGGAACAAAAGCCTTGCAAGTCATTCTTGCAAGGAAATACTCGAGCAAATTGGAATAGTCAGTCTTTGCGGGATTTAAACAAATATTATAAAGTGTTAGCTGTGCCACCACTTGACAAACCACTTTTATTTCTCAAGGGATTCCAGAACTAATGGAGGAATGCTGTTGGGATAGTGAAGTCTAAGACGACTGTTTCATACTTGGATTATCAGATTAGAGTTGTATTAACACAAAAACAGTGCTACAGGGGGTTTTCCTGAGCTGTTCAGATCTTGGTACTCTAAATAATAATAAGCTATAAGTGTTAAAGTCTTGTCACTTGTCTTTCCATAAGTGAAGACTTGTCACATTTAGTATAATCACCTAATGTTGTTTATATAAAAAAAATGAATGTCAAAACTGAAAGCGATTCCGGTTTTATATGGAGAGTCATTACTTTGATCTCTACCAGCTCTGCTATACTTTTTTAGAGACAGAAAGCCATACTTAATCTTCTGAACCTAAATGCAACATCTGGTTGGTAAAAATTTGAATTGCAGAGATCATGCACATTAAAACAGGCTGCTCCAGCATTAAGACTGGTGAGCCGTAAAATGAAGGTCTTATTGCATTTATCTGCTGTCCAGCAATAGTGATGCACAAATAATTCTGAGAACATGGGAAAGCAATATGCTGCTTGTGGGTGGAGAATGTTGGTCTCTTAAGTCAAAGCATTCTTGTTAACACCACTTTTTAAACATAAAAACCTAAAATTCTGGGGTGAACAACAGCTATGATCCAGTAAAGCAGGCTTTTTCACCCAAATGTACCAGAAGAATTTTTTTTCTACAGTTAAATCAGCATAACTAAGATAATCAAAGAGCAGGAGCACCGATTATGTAATAACCCACTGGCAGGTCTACATTCAGTATGTTTGTGGCTGCATCATTTAATTTCACTTTAATCAGGTATACCTTGTTCCTTGACCACCCTCCTGACAAATTTTGTGCCATATTGAATATCCACATGCTGTATTTGAATGGAACAATACATTTCCTTCAGGGTGGGAATTTTTATGGGTCTGTTACATATTTAGTGAGAATTCTTCAAGGAGCTTGGCAGCTTATTTTGGCTCACGTTTTGATTAAAACAATACATGGGATTAATACATCAGTTTTAGATACCATATAGTCTGTCAAAATATGCAGAGCTTTAAAGCATGTACAGTACATTGCGTCCTGTTGTAAATGAATATGCTACTACACATTACAAGTACAAAACTCGCAAACTAAGATACTAGTTAAGAGTAAAAAACAAATTACTAGGATTTGACAGGTTATCCCTTGAGCCTTCTGAACAAACAGTCATCCAGTAAATGTACTTGAGGCATGATGACATTTAGTTAATTGGAGAGAAAGATACATTTATTAGATTCACATGACAAACTCAGATTTGGAAACAAATGTCAGCTTGCTTTCTAGGAGCTATTTGAATGCAGGCACCCCATCGCAGTTTTGTAGCCAAACATATAGACCATATTAGACATTTACAGAACTTGCTGGAAGTTCTCAAGTGAAAAGAACAAAAACATCTGTATGTGTAAAACCATGGAGATTCTGAAAATATCTTGTGAAACTATTGATTTTGTCCAGGAGAAAACAAAAAATACTGCTCTTGATTATGGTCAGATAAATTGGACCACTTGCACAGAGCAGCACATTCCACTTTTTGACTGACTGCATAGAACAGATGGAGGGGTGCAAGCCTAAAAAGTGAATATCCCGAATTTTGAAGTCTTCTTGCGCATAATTAACTTGAGACAAGGTTCAAAGGAAAGCCAGCACTCAAGTATGGCAAGTATCACTCTCTAGATAGAAGTTGTCATCCCTGTGTATGCGAGAGCACGCAGACTGGCAGCAGGGGGAAGGGGAGCTGAAGGGTATACCACCCACAGAGACGGGGGCCCAGGCTGCTCTCATAGGAAATGGTTGCGCTGCAGGCCTCACACAGAGATCAGGGGCCACCCAGCCGCACTCGGAATCTGTTTATTTTTATCCTTTGGGGGAAAATTGTTCTCTGCGAGACATTTATTAGGGCTTTGATTTGTCATGTGTCAGCTCTTTTACTTCAGTCTAATGTGTACACACTATTACTGCTTGTGTATAGTAAAGCAATTTTGGGTTGGGGGGGGGATAAAATCCTCCAAGAGGGGACCCCACACATGATGGCACCCAAGAGGGTGGGGGGGGGTGGGTCACATTAACAACAGAACTGCGCTTCAGGAAGACGATCTGTCACATCAGAACAGAATTTAAATATTTGTAAATATCAATAAAGTGCACATTTACCAACAGCCTGAATTCAGTGGGACTTTATCTGGATACTAAGAAATTTTAAAAATGAGTCACACTGTTAGTGATGATTGAAAACGATGATCAAATGCATTGATTTTCTTTAGACCCCTTTAAAAAAACCTGGATTTTCTTTGTCCATCTAATGTTACACTTCACAATAGTTTAAATAGAAGCATTTAGGAAATGGAACTTATCACAATCTACTGGATTTGAAAATTGCAGCTATTTCTATGAAAAAATAAGTTTTTTCAGAAAACAATTGCTTGGGAAAAAAGGACATAACAGATCACATTAACATCATAATGAACAGTCAGAGATACTGTCTTAAGAGATACCATAATTCCCACATTATCAATAGAAAATGTTAGATAAAATGCATGAGGCCCGTTTCTCTTTCAATCCTTGCCCTCCCACATCGAGGCCCAACTCTTATGAATGTGTACCTTCTGCTCAAGCCCAATATTAAAAATGTTCTTCTTTTTCAATAATTGCCCCTGCACTGGTGTTTAGGATGAAAAGAATCCTCAAAAAAGACGACAGATAGTGACAGAGGGGTTCTAGTAGGACACTGCATCACAAAACTAACCTTATAGCACTGTTACTGAGGACCAACATCTGCAAATTAAAGACTGTTAACACTGACATATGTAGTGAAGACTTGTTTATGATGCAGCCATACACACTATTGACATACAGACAGCACAAAATGGAGAATCACCTCTGCAATCACCTGAAAGGTCTCCTACTGAGCACAAACGTTATCCTTGACCAGGGCATAAAGGAATATTTGGTATGGCTTAATAAAAAAAAACAGCAATTCAAATCCAAGGCCTTTACTTTAAGAAGAATTGACACAATGCGCTTTGTTTATTTGTTCTTGTATGCAGTTTGATTCTACTTGAGGCTATGTGTAGGTTTTCCAAATAAGATGTGGTCAACCATTTCTGAAAAGTTCAATGCTGACAAATTGAGTTTAATTCCATCATAGAAAAATGATTAGCTAGCAGTAATTATGCATCAGCATCATCACATTCCAGTGAGATTTTATTGTAGGGTGATCTCCAATGAAATCCAAATTGCTGCCGCAACTGTTGGTGATCCAGTAGATGACACTCTTCCCTATGGACTGGTATTTTCAAAGACCAAAACCCTAGTATGGTGACTGGAAAAACCATGTTGTAGAAGGTATTGTCCTTTAGATAAGAAATTACATGCTCTTGACTAGTTGGTCAAAGATCTCATAGAAGATTTTTAAAGAGGAGGGGTGTTAATTCCAGTGCTTTAGCTAAACTTCCACTCAAGTTTTAGAAAGCACAGCATTCCTCAAATTGTCCTTAAATTATTTTCTCTCTTCTCTAATTTGCTGTGTTAAGGTGCTGGTGACGAAGGCTACCCTACCGTGGTGGATAACATGGGTACCCTCCTGACATATCACTTTGAAATCATGAGATGAAACAGGCTGAATAAATACAAGCAATTATGTAACACAGACCTATAAGACTTATATATGAAAAACAGCAACATCAATTTAATTTTCAGTGCAAATTAAAGGAAAATCTGAGAGCTTAGGTTTAACCTTAGTTTCTAACCTTATAAAGCTGAATAGGTTGTGGGATGTACTATTTAAGTTTATAAATCCATTTAATTAGCATAATAGAATCACATGGAAATATTTTGCAAAAATTTATTACAAAATGTACAATGTTAAATGTAACCTTGAGCTTACAGAACATCTACAAATTGCATGTGCACTATAAAAAGCAAGAACGTGGCTTGGTGTGCTCTTGCACATTCTCACACTCAAGAAATGTTTAGCATAGGTTGTCACAATTAAATTTTAGAATTCTGAAAAGCATAAACTTTTCTAATATTAAAGCAAACAATTTAGAAGTCGTCATCCATCCAGCAGTCAAGAGGTATGTACATTTAGAACATACAAGTGATGAATGAAAAACAATTTGATGTTTTTATAAAAATTACACAAAAAATTAAAGGACACAAGAAAGAATAAGGGCTCTCCACTCAATTACCAATTCAAATTATGTACAAGGTATTGAAACAGAGCACACAGAAAGTCAAACAAATTTGCAGTAGTGTATTCAAGTTTCAGCGGCATCCATTAAGTTTTGCCCTAGCCTCTTGTTCATTTTCTATGGCAGATTCTAGAACTTTCACATTATCTGAGGAAAAAAAACATTAATTTTAGCAAAAAAGAATGAACAGCCAACTGGATAACAAACATTTAGTTGTTAAAAGCACTTCTGCATGTATACGTGCTGTTCAGAGCAGTGGAAAGAAAGGTACAAGAATTGAGAAGCTGGATATTTGCATACATTCAGCAATTTCCCCTAAACCAAATGTTGAAAGGGACAAATACAATTTTGTTTGTAAAAGCCATTGTGTTAACAAAATATCTTCAACCGTACATGACGAGTAAACTGGACTCACTGGCAAACTGTTAATATTTGCAGATATGTTGACCAATAAAACGACATTGCTACAGATACTGATTTTCAAAAATGTGTTCTCAACACAAAGAAAAGGTTTGTGATATGTTAAACTATTGTACAAAACAGCTGTCAAATGGTGCATTTTGAGATTCTTACCTTGTAGTGAACTGCAACCTTTCAAAAATGCCTTAATTTGCGCCACAACACTCAGTAAGTCACAAGATGGTTCATCTGCTGCCTTCATGGCACAAACCCCGTGCTAAAAAAATTAACATGGAAAAGCTTAGTGTAATCTATAATAGTAAAGTGACCATTCCACATTTTTAATTAAAATTTATGCAAATAGCAGAAGGTTCTAAAAAGATATGTAAGGAAAGATCTAATGTATCACTTAACACCTGCACATTACATTTGCCTGGTCCTGGAGAGCCACAGGGTTTTGTTTTCTCTTGAAAACTAAATTGGTTACCACTGTTTTCAAGACTCAAGCCATCAAAGTTTAAACTCTGCAGCTCTGCACCTTAAGAACCAGTAATAATAGCTGTCCTAGACTTAATTTTGGACCAAAGATGACAAGTCTAACAAAATAAAGTTTTAAATTAAAGACAAATAGGCATGTATTTAATCTCGGATATCAACATTTCAGATTAAATTCTCAGATTCAAATTAAACCTACATTTACTATTTCTTGGAGTTCCTCCATAACCTTCTCTTCCATTTCTGAGACGCGAGACATAGCTTCATAAATGTCAGACATTAGATGTGGTAAAGCTGTATCCTAAAAAAGAAAACCAAAAAAAGTTTTTACTATTAGAGGTTTAATCTCTTAAATCAACTCTTGTAACGTAGTAATCTAACATGCAGTTAAGTCCATTAAACAATACTCACTTCATCTAAGCTGCTGGACTCATCAACTTCCATTTCATCCCTGTCGGTGCCGGACTGATTTCCATTAGGTGTTCCATTCAGCTCCTTTACTCTAAAGCACACAAATCCAAATGATTGTTCAATTTTCTGATTACAGTATGTACCATTCATACAATTTAAATTTAAGAATGCCTTAAAAGTATACTCCAATATGCTAACTTAGTATTAAGCCAGTTACATTATCATCATATCATATAATCAGTAAAAATAAATGGTTAAGATTTGTATGCACAACAAGATGAATAAGAAGCATGAACTATTTTAGAAAAAACTTCAGCAAAGTTTTTTTCAGCAAAGGCACACTGTTGCACATTACCTGTCTGCATATCGGAGAGTGTTCAGAGTGTAATCACAAGAGGCCATCCCAGGTGAAATCATGGCAATCTACAAAAGCCAATTCACACATAATGAGGCTTGAAGTATCGTTGTGGCCATTTTATACAGAAATCTATTTATTGGTAGCACTAGAATAATCTTATACTACAAGAAAAAGGAAAATGAGATTGATGAACTGTAGAACGCAATCAATTCAGTCTAATTAAACAGAAGAGACTAAGCCGAGATAAGCTTAGTATTCAAAGGTATTAAATGTCCTTTGAAGACCAGTTTCAACACTCTTGCTTCTTTCAGCATACTATGAATACAAAGTCACTGATGGTAAAAGTCAAAAGGCGAGGTTAAATAATGAATGCTCGCAAGTGAGTTCACAGACCTTAAATGTTACAAACCCCAGAAGACCTATTTTGATAAGTCTATCTAATCAGTCTGCAAAACCCCTTTTTTGTAGGGGTTTGAAGTTTACATCAAAGAATATTATAGTTTTAATAAAATTCTAAGCATTCAATTACTATTCTTTAGAATTGCATTCATTTTCATTTTACAAGTAGTTTTAAGAATTACAGATTTTGAAATTTGCATGCATATTTTTGCAAAACAAGCAAAAAAGCATTTTTGTATAAGTGTAAGCATTGGAGGATTAGAGAACCTTGTCAAGCCAAAATAATTAGGTTTAAGGTTTAAAACTCCACAAAAGCTGAAAGAAATGCAGAACAAATCCTCACCATACAAGTCCTGGAGTTCTCCCCTATGAAGGAATCTCTTAGAACCTGCGTCAGCTTACTCATTCTGAACGGTGTATGAGCCTGGTTCTGTCCAAGAGCTCGAATACATTCCTTAAAAATAAATTAACTGGTCAGTTCCTCTCTTTTTAACCGGTGGTTTAGGAGTGTTAGTAAAAAACAAATATTGTTTTAAGTGACGGCAATCGATGGAATAAATACCTTCAAAGCCAAGAGGCTTCTGTTAATCTCCGCAGTTTCCACTAAAGTTTGTCGTTCAGCGCTGCTAACATCGGAACCACGCTCATTCCCTGCCAAATCAACCAATGAGAACTTGCCATGTAGCTTCTCCCCCTTACGCAAGATAATCTGCAAGACTGCATGAGAACGAGACGAGTTCGAATTGGCAAAAGTCTGTCCTGATGTCCTGCAAGAAACAAAACATGAGATTTCCCAATGGCGATTCCAGAGGATGAAGCAGCCAGTGGTTTTGTGAAACTTTTTAAAAATCAGTATGGGTTTAAATTAAGCACACCTTTGTGCTTCAGAGTTTAACCTAAGATACATACCTGCACGCACTGCCAATATCGATCATTTTGATGACATCTTCGGCTGATGTGACATACATTTCTTGAAGTCCAACTACGTGGACTTGCTGCTTGCTGTCTTCCAAGACGCGCAGTTTTGCTTTCTTATTTAGTAAATCAAACACCTACAAAAATAGGGGCATAAACTTGTGAAGTATCAGAAAAAAAACACAAGCTTATTGAAGACTAAAATGACTTGTGTAAGAGAAGCATACTTGTTTTTGTAAAGATTATCAAAGAATCATGATCTAATGCAAAATCTTAAATCATTTTTAAATTGGAACTTAATGTAGAGTTAAAATTCTATTTCTTTTAGGCAAAAGCAAAATAAAAAGGCTTGACACAATCTGGCCCTAAAGTTTGAAGCAGTCCTGCTACAATTTACAATGGCAGCCAATCTAATATTATTTTAAGAATAAACTAGCTGGAAAAAAAAAATCTGATTTTCTTTTTTTTTTTCAAAACATGATGATTGTAAGACTGATAAAAGACCCTCTGAATTTTTACCTTGCCATTGTATATCTCAAAAAAGGTAACATATGGTTCCAGGCCGAGGATAGAATATTTTCGCTGGCTGAGAAGTGAAAAAACATCTTGAGCTACAATTTTAAAGAAGAGGGGAAGGACAGATTAAAACAGGTTAAAAAATGATTACATCCATCAAAGATGTCAAAAGAATTGTGATTTGTCAACTTGCCTGCTAGTGCATAAATTCCTTTTGAGCAGTTTTGACTTTTCCCCGAGAAATCACCACCCATCGTCTGCCAAAAAATGCCATTTTAGAAAAGGAAAAGCAAAATGAAATACTGTTTGTCAATATAAAACCGAGTTAATTACTAGAGTGATACTAGGAATTTTAATATTCAGATATTTCTAAAATATTAACATCCTTGAAAATTAATATGCAAATTATCGTGCAAGGTACATCTAAGTAACCGTACTATCATGTTCATGTATATCATTATATGCAATTATGTTTTACATCCAGTAAATTGAATTACAATTACTACGCTGTACAATTTACTCTGCAATATCATGCAGAAATAAGATAAGATATAGCCAAAGCAATAGCTTGTGCAAACTAATACTTTTTTTGGGGGGGGGGGATTGATAGGTATCGACCATAAACCTATTGAGATATTCTTTTACTAGTTATTAAAATTGAAAAAGCTCTAAACTTATATCTATGGTTATGTTGTTAAAACAGTACAGTACTATTGTTGTTAGACTTACATGTGTTTTCCCACTTCCTGTCTGGCCATATGCAAAGCAGGTTGCCATTCCACCTTCAAAAACAGTTTGAACAAGTGGTTTGGCTGTAAACCTGTGTGTAATAGAAAATGAAAATCAAAATAACAAAAAATCACAGCAAACAATGCGGTTTTGTGCAGGAAATCAGCCTTTAGGATTTTTTGGAGGTGCCCAAGTAGAACATAGACAAAGTCTAACATTTTATAAACTGCAGTTGTATATGGACTAACTTTGGAAATACAGGCATTACAGAATATTCATTACATGGGTGTACAAAAACTGTTACAGTAATCTATCCATGTGATCTAAAACTGAAAAGTGAATGATCAATTACTGTACCTGTACACAATGTCATTTGTTGCTGATTCATCAAAAGAATAATCAAATCTGAAGATCTGGTTCTCCAAGTACTTTGTGAGATCCACTTTTTGTTTTGGTTCGTGCAGAAGCAGCATTCCTTTCCCAGGGACAGAAACCACATCTATTTCCTTTTTTGCCAGCTCTGTCATATGAAGACTGTCAATTAGAATTGAAACCAGAAACTACAAAAAGATCTTGCACTTGCTAGACACGAACGCTCAGTTCATACCTTGTTTGTTCAGTGGGCGTTTCCGGACACAAACACAAATTCTGTGATCTTCAATCTAAAGGAAACCAAAGATTTTTTACTATCTACTACAAAAAATGAATTAAAAAAATTGTATAGTATGCAAAGTAATTATATTGTCAGATACAAAAGCAGAAAACTATTTTCGTATCTTCTCTCCAAGCATATTGCGCGTCAAGGATTTTCCCCAACTTTCAACTTGGAGTTTCAGAATTTATACTGCAAATGTTGGATGAACTCATTCAAATGGCAACATTGGTATTTTGTAGCAAAATGTAATTTTTGCAAGTGCTTGTGGAGAATCTGAGGAATAAGATTCTGCACAACCAGAGCAATTCTGAATTCCCAGTAATTTTGAAATTTTAGCCTCATCAACAAACATTTTGAACATTGCCTGAGAACTACTTCATTTATCAATCATGGCATCCTAATAATTTCCTTTTATGAACTGGCTACATCACTCTGTTCATCTTCCCACTGACAGCTGATGTATGGCGAGGTATACTGGCTGCCTTTGCATCATCCAAGTGGATGCTGCACATTGGTGGTGATGGTGGAGGGGAGTCCCCATTACCTGTAAATAAGTGGAGTGTCAAGAAAAGCGCTATATAGGTGTAAGTGCATGTTTCAAGAACCTTTATGACTTACCGGGTCTGACAACGAGATAGGTTTGCATTGTAAAGTTTCTCGATACTCCCGGATCATTTTCAAGAACTCCCACTTGGCCTTGCTCATTTCACTATCCTATAAAAAATGACAGTAAGTTATAGGCATTTTTGTGCAAATGTAAATATAGTTAGAAATTCAGCAGTGAAACTCTCTCTTCTAGCCAAGCTTAAGTTTAGGGTTTGAAAATACCACAGCTGGGCATTAACCATTAACTCTTTAAAAGGAGTTGGAATCGCATGCTTTTTAGTCTGCCTAACACTATAGAAACCAGGGTGAGATTTGGCCTGATGAGCTGCTGTCTCTACAGATTTTATGTTTTGATTAATGTAGCTTTTTAGCACCGCCTATTTATGGTGAGAGATAAATAAGGATTTTACCCCTCAGAGAGAAAATGTTGTCACTGTTCTGTAGTGATGGAATTCTACTGACCTTTCCTTGCCTTGCACGGGTTTGCACATTTTTGGCTTGGTTTGCTTCTCTTTTATTCTTCATTTTTTCTACTTCAAGGACAACAGCTGACTTCCGCTTGGCTGGAAAATAATGAATCGTTTCAGTACCAGCTTTAAAATTCTAATATTTAATAATTAAGATAATTGAATTGATCTTTCAAATGTTATTTAAGATTAACCTGGATTGGTAGACCCATAATTCTTTGGAAAATGTGGTAACTCTGCTTCCACACCAACTTCATTGACTTGTGGCAGTAATGATGCTTTTGACATAAGAGTTTTTCTCCTTGTGCTGGGTCCTGTTGAACAATGTACAAGAAAATTCACGGAACTTGAACAGAAAAAGTTAAAGCAGAAAATCTTTTCTACCATTGCTTGTTTAAAGACTGGAGAATACTTTGTCAACATTTTATTCTTGATTAAACAGGAAAATATCAGTAGAATTAAAAAAAAGTATAATAATCTTTCTTGAAAGTTCTTACCAGAACAATTAAAGAGAGATGTTTTTGCCACTTCTGAACTTGAAAATTCTTCCTCTGCATCAGCAAGCAGAGACTGAGGTGTAGATTTAATCACAACGCTTCGTCGCACATTCGAACTTCGTGTCCCTAAACGAAAGACACGCCACTTTCTATTAAAACTTTTCTAATAAAGGATCAGCAATTAATAATGTTACTGACAGAAGACATACAGCACAGTGTTGTTGAGCCACAAGACCGTTAACACCCAGTGAATATGTGAAGATGAAAGTGCCTTTAGTGAACTGACCCTAGGATATCAGAGGAAATTGCTGTCAATGACAGACCAATTGCAAAATTAATTTTTAAAGGTAATGTCTACCAACTAAAATAGCTTTGATCTGTTACTGAATTTTTAACTACTATGTTGACTTCATAATTCAATCTCCACAAAAATGGACAAAAAGACAATTATGTTAAAAACACTCAGATCAGCCATATTCTAAATATGAACAAGAAACAGGTTTATTCCATGGTGAAAAGAGAAGAAATAAAACACATTTCTTGGGTGTTCACCTGAAGAACGCTCCACAACCAAAATGTGTTTTCTTTATTCTTTTCACCATGGAATAAACCTATTACTTGTTCCTTTGCAGCCTACGCATGCCGATGCAGCTGCTCATCTGAATATATTCTATTTATGCATTACATGATAAATTAAACTATTTAAAATGCATCAAAGCAGGCATTAGTAAGAAATTAAGACTCATAGCCATACCATTTCATAACAAGTGGTTTTCTGTCAGTCACAGCAGGCATCAATGCCACATAAGAACTTTGATTTAAATTAATCTTTCAGTTTTGTGCTCTGCAGTGTGATGGAAAAAGTCACTGGTAAAAAAGCCCTAATCAGATCACACCAAAGAGGAGAAAAAGGATCAACCATCTCAAAAAAGAAAGGATTGAATGTTAGAAAAGAGCTGTCAAAGTCACAGAAGTGATATGAACATATGAGCATAAACTATAATAGCAGCAGAAGCTGCCATGTGAAATATCACTTGAATACACATACTGTAGACTGATGAAGTATATAATTTTTAAAAGCTGCACTTTGTAAAATTTGGAGAAAGAGTATTAAGAGTAAAAATGGTGAAGACTTCAAATCAAATCATAGTGTAATAGCATTTAAATATCCTTTGATTCTGACAGCTAACAGAAGTGGGCAGTGCATGCTTCATACCCTTATCTGGTAGTTCAGCTTGACGAGCATCAACAATGGCTTGCGAAAGGGGGAAAAACAAAATGAGCCATTAAAGAGAGGAAAAGCTTCCTACTGCAATTTCTTTTTTTTAATATGCTTAAAATGGAACTTTTTCAGAAATGGAAGCACTCACTTTCTGGAGGAGCCGGAATCTTTGACAGGCGAGTCCTGCGTTCCAGTTTCTAGGAAAGTCAACACAAGTCTAAAGGTAACAAATTTGCTGCAAATCACATAATACAAATAGTATAACAAACAACGGAAACTGTAAAATGATTAGAAATGTCGTAGATAACATATGTCCCTGTTTAACATAAATCAAAATATTAGTTATACCCCAGGGGTCTCCAATGCTGGTCCCAGAGGGCAAAAATCCTGGAAACAAGAAACGGCCAATGAGCAGAGACCCGGAAAGCATTTTTACTCCTAAATCAATTGCAAGACTCTTTTCTTAGCGTAACTAAAAATACAGACAATTTCTAGTAAGAGAAATTACAAGGAACAGTCATACTAGTACAATAATTTAAGAAAGGGATGAGAAGGGCTAGCACACAACTGGTAAAACAACAACTATAAAATATCCATATGGTGATTAAGTTCTTGATAAGTTCAGCTGGAAAAGAAAACCACAGAAATCACTGCTTTCCAGAACTAAGGTTGCAGATTCCTGACATATCCTCTTCAATCCTTTCCCTGTGATGAATGGTTCACTTGTGATGTTCGTAGAGCAGGCGAAAATGAAATATTTTGCTGGCAATACTAAAGTGAAAAAGAAAAGTACCTACTGGTATTGCGACATTTTCTTGTAAAGGAAGAGTCCTGGGTTGGGTGGTGGGTTTCAGGTATTCAAACAAGCCCTGGTTTAAAGTCCACAATTCACCAAAATCAACCTGCAGGAAGAAAAAAAAAAAACACTGGTTTGTACTGCTATGGATAAGTGTTGGGCTCCAACAGTTTTCTAAATATTTTAATTCTGGAAAAATAACATTAGCTTGTAATATTAATAACAACACGATTACACCAACAAATTATTGTATCACCTTGTTTCTGCTTACCACTGTATCAATGCCAGGTATATTGGGAGGGGCTGTCAATAGAAACGAATTAAGACTGCCCCCAAATGCGTTCCCATCCGTAAGCACAAAAACGTTCGGATTACGAAATACACGATTCCCACCTCTTTGCCTTTGGTTGCAGAATTTTCTTCCCACTCGACAGTGACGGTGCCCTTCTTGTGGTTAATGTCTTTAATGGTAGCGCTATGCACCCTTCCTGCAGAAGATATCATCACCGACACATCGTAAACAGGTCTTTTCAGTCATTTCAATTATTCGTACAAATGACCGGCAAAGGCTGCCCTGGGAAAACATCCACGGGCCAGATTCGTTTCTGTTAGACTTTTTTCTTGCCCTTTACATTTCGCAACGCTGTGATGGACCACTAATAGTAATTTTTCTAACTCAAAACAAACCCTGACTGTCACAAAGCAGCGGGGAACTGCTAGTACTTTTATTAGCTACTAATACAAGGACATACAAGGGTATACAAGGACATTTGCTGTATTATTTACTTCATTTTAAACATACCGTTTTCCTACCACATGCATTAAAAGAGATAATGAAAGATTCCTACCGTCACTCCGGCTAATTTTAATAGCGAGTCCAGGGGTAATACAGTCAATAACTGCTTGATTCATTTCTAAAATCGATATTCTGTTGACTCCGCAAATTTAAAATATATTTTATGACTCTTAAAATGATTATTATGTTTATTTTACGAACGTTTTCCTCTAACTTCAAGTAAGCATCAGAATCCAATATAGCAGCTAACCGCCGAACTTTTAAAAAACGTCACAACAGGAAGTACACTAAAGAATGTTGGGACAAAACCGGGGGAAGTCGGGAAATGTAGTTCATGTTTTGCCGGCTCCGCCCAACCCTTCCAACTCTAGAAATGCCAAAATGGAATTCCTCTTTTAATTAGAGACTTAGGTGTCAGTTTTTCTGTTAGAAATATACATTACCCAACCTTGGTGGTAATAAAGAGAGCCATTGATTAGTATCTGGACCACTGGTAAGGTATATTAGAGAACGGGGACTTTCATTTACCAATTTGGAACAGTGAATGTACTACTGTTCCAGTGGTTGTACTTTAGTGCTTGTACCTTAAGGCTAAATGTGTTTTGTTATTTTTAAAAATAATTTCAGTGTTTTTTTAATGAAATATAAACATACGTGAATACAAAGGCGACTTTAAGTTGTACAAAGTGTGTTGCACGTGTCTGGAAAACGCTCTGTAATTTACCATGTGACTTTTTGCGGGGGCTCTTCAGTGTATTTCATGCGGTTTATGCTGTCATTACTGTTGCTGATGTCACCTGTTGCTGATGTCACCTGTAATACAGCTGTATTTGAATATTAGGGTAAATGGCCCGTCTTTCACAAGAAAGTAAAATCAAAGCATATATACAGTATACAGCAAGTGTACCTGCTGCGGATCAGTCCAGTAAGAAATAAGACGAGCACATCCGGAAATAACTTCTTGTCAGTGCTTCTTCTAACACCATGGGACAATTACAACTAATTGAAAGCAGCGTACTAACAATTGGAAATGATACTGAGATAGAGTAGCGTAGATAGTATCGTACGAGGTAGTTCGCAGGTCCGTAATATAAGCCTCTTTGGACTTAATACGTAGCAGAGTAACAATGATATATTCGATTTCAAATGTAGTGGGTTCAGTCGCTCCATGGAGAAATAAAACTGAGTTCTCACCAATTTACAATCTTCATTTGTGGTGGCAAAAACCTGTTCTGTGGCTGATAACCCGCACAAAAAATATCTTAAAGATGATACTGTCATACTGTCAATCCATTTGTTGTAAAAGGAAATTCCCTTTTCCTTGGTATAACAACAAACGTATTAATTTTTCCATGAGAAAAGGTTAATAACAAATTGCTCTGCGCACTGACATAATAAGAATGGAGTTAATACTTTGTGATGACACAGTGGAATTCTTTAACAGCCATTCATATTCTAGTCGAGGGAACTCATAATTCTCAATTTATTGGGACCATTATAATAAACTTTGTGAGGTGCTGAAGAATCTAAATTCAGATTAAGCATTGCATCACTATTCAATTACAGTTGAATCAGTTGAACAATCATAATGCAGTACATCACATTCCACATCTTCAACACATTTTCACATGTTTGAATGTCCAACTATCAAGTTAATTTAACAAAAAAAAAAGCTGGAAAAACTATACATCTATAATTTTTTAAAGACTATGATCTATAACATCCATCCATCTTCGTGGCGAGACATGTGGTCGATTTTTCTATTGGTGTAATTGTTTTAAATTGCCACACGGTGGCAATGTAACCTTCTGTGTGATATATTCTCACAGGAATGTGGCGAGAAAAGCAGACAGGAAGAAATTATCTTAAAAGCTTTTTTAAACCTTATTATAAGTATTGCAATGGATCATAATAAACGAGTAAGACAATACTCGCGAGATTGCTTCTACAGTAAGAGACTAGCAAATTGGAAATTATTTTATGAATATTCTAGAGTGCAGAGGAGGCAGGCTCCGAGTATACACAGAAATTGTCCATCTTTATTCGGTAGTATTTGCAGTTGGGTCAGATTTTAAAATTAAAAAGATTTAATTTCACATAATGGTTTAATGCGGATTCATATGAAAATGATTAGTTAGCCTGCCTAAAGTGAGCCTTCACGATATTTCTGTTTCACCACTGTTGGTGTTTTTTTTTTTCAAATGGACTCCTGAAAACATTTTTCTTGTTGTTTCGTGATTTTGATTTAAAGAACTTTCTAATAAACAAATATTGTAAATATTAAGTTGATAAAGCGTAAGAAACTGAAGGGCTTAATTTTAAATAGCAACTGAATTATGATTACAATCAATAACAAATGAATGATTAATTTAATGATTAATGGCCGAGTATATTTGATGAGAATATGGAGTCAAATCTATTGTGTTTCCTCCCACAGAAAAAGAAAATTAAAGGACAGCTTTAATCAGGAAGCTCTAATGATGTGATTGATTTCTGGACTCACCTGAAGCTATTTTCCCTGTAGTGTCCTGGAGATGAGCTACATTTTAACGTGCACCACAAAATGAAGCTATTGATGGAAAACACTGCCAAATAACCTTAGCAAGATAAGCTCTGGAAAAATTGTCACCCTGTTTGTTGCTCAGATTCTTTCATGAGCTCAACAGAAATGTGATGATATCAGTTGCATTCCTCCCAGAGTCAATCTTTTGCAGATAAAATGGGGGGCACTCAGATGAACGTTTTGCAGACCGTGTTTTTGCTGAAATATCACACGGTCAATGTTAGCATTATGAGTAAGGGCACCGGGGGTCTCTGTAGCAAAGCAGGGAATGCAGCTAAGCAATAAGTAAATGAAATGGTTGGAATGGAAAACTGTGGTGATCAGGGCTCTGAAGGACATCCATAAATTTCTCTATTCTACGGTGCCTGCTTCTGTGGACGCTGCAGACCTTGAAACAGGATTGCATGTCTGCAGCTGAGTAAAAGGTCAGTGTCTTCTCAGCAAATTTTCTGAGAAAGCCTGGATAACCTTAAGGTTGCTCTAGGAATGCTTAGTACTCCAGAGACAAAACTCTACTGTCTGTTCCAGTGTAGAGAAAGAATGATCTGGATATAATTTTGAAGTGCAGGTAGTTTAAATGAATTGCCCGGGGTGTCAACACACTGTTCACCACAGATGCAGCAGATTATTGTAAAGCAAGCTGTTTTACACCTACTACTGTACCTCCTGGCATGGGTGCAACAAGAACACTAAAATGCTGTAAAACCAGGTTACAAGATTCACACTGGGCTGTGAGATCAGATGCTGTATTGTAATAACTCTGCTCAAACGGTTCACTTCTCATTTGCAATTTCAGTTGGACTACCCTGGAGCGTTTGTATGGAACTTTACAGTTCTACGGTTCAGAGGGAGGTGTCCATACAGTAAGCACGACATAGACTCAGATTAAAGCATATGCCGTGCGATTCTGTTTGAAAGAAAATACCATTGCTCATTAAAAAATTAACTGGGACTTTCTGCAATTTATATTTTTTTCATTTGTGATGGCGTTTGAAAAAAACCCCACCGCCAAGCAAGGATGCCATTTCTTCTAGGTGACAGCTACACAAACGTATACTGTTGCTTAGTAAACAGGAATAAAGCTTAGCTTCCTTGTGTTTAAAAGGAAGGAAACTGTCATTATTATTTTCTAGATATAGCATTTTGACAATTTGAGTTGACGGCTATATTATAAATTAATTTCCATCCCTATAATATCCCCAAGCTATTCAATTTCAAGGTCAGTGTTCTGTACAATATGGACATTAATAAACATAAACACACAAATACATAGAGTTAAAAAACATCTTATGTCAAATTGCAGCAACATATTACAGAGAGTCTTAAATTAATATACTATGTGAGTTGACTGGGTTTTATTGAGTTATGGCATTATTAAAACTGCACTGAAATTCCTAGTAGTATCTTAAACATACTGTACTTTAATAAAAAATTATTGAGTTTTTAAGCACTTTTGTCTGTAGTAGTCTAAAATAATATAAGGTCCTTGATGATTTCTTTACGGCTATCAGATGCTTAAGAACAATCCCATCCATTCCTCTTCTTTGTTTGCAACAGTGAAAAAAAGCATGGTCTGCAAAATTAATCTGAAGTCTTTTGGCACTAACATCTTAGTGAATCATAAACAGAGCAGTTTATGTTTCATTAACAAATTCCCATAAAATTGATGTGTCTGTAAATTGTAGTTGTTTTTTAAATAGTTAATCCCTGTTTATTACCAAAACACTGTAAAACTGCTGGTAAGTTTGTACACTTGATAAGGTAGTTAAAATGTGGAGAGGACGTATAAGATTTCTATTTCTACATTGGAAACGGGAACATAAAAAGCCTTAATATAAATTTATTACTACCTACTCTGTTGGGATATCCTCATTAAATTTAAGACAGACCTTTAGCTGGTTTCACAGATACAATTTGCTACACTTCCTAGCTGTGTTTTCCTCAGGTAACATTATGTGGTACAAGGTCAGTGCTAATGAGTGTAAACAAAACCACTGTCTTAGACAGGGAAATATACTGAACAGCGATGATAGAAACCTGTAGTAAGTAAAAAAATTAATGGTCCCTTTGTACATAGACAAAAGAGTGTACATACTATGTATTGTATATCATTTAAGTGGTTTATGTTTTTAATCTGCTGCCAGAGAAATAAGATTTATTCATGCATTTTACCTTTTTTAGTGTAAAACAATGGCTGAAATGTTAATTACATTTTCCATTTTTATGTATGGATATTAAATGTACTTTTTGGTTTTTGGAATTAGTTCCACTGGGGACCTTTAATTCAAAGCACATAGTCTGAGAAGTCAGTCTCAGCAGGAGTGGCACAGTGTTGCCTATTCCAAGCAAGGGCACTGCCTATTGGAAGAATAGGCAATTTAAATTATATGAAACATTAGATTCTGAGTAATAAAAGAACACCACAGTTTATCATTACATTTATGATCCTTCTTGATCTGGGCATTCTTTTTGTCAAATTAATCTTTTTGTTACCAAATTAGTGCTGTGTGTTAGGTTTCAGTCAGTTTGTGTTGTGCTGTCGTGTTCTTTGTTCTGTAATTCCAAGAAAAAGTACCAACAGGTGATTCAAGTCAAATAAAAAGGCAATCTTCCAAGGTTATGCTTAAATTTAAACTGTGACATAAGTTTTTGTTCTTACTGAAATCTTTTTTGATGCAGACATTCATCTTCAAAGGGTTAC